TCACGGACCGCGTCACAGAGAGATGACAATGGCACTCGAGATTCATGCAAGTTCGCATTGAGGGGGCGTATTGAGGGTTACCGGTACAATCCGAACTCTAAGTCTTAGTATTTACGGCAGAGTTCTTACAGGTAATTACGTCATTGTTGACTAGATGAGTAGGTTTATAGGAAGATCTACATGATTTATATGTGGACTACATATAAATCATTGGTGGGAACAGTCGCCTGATTTATATGTGGACTACATATAAATCAGTTGGTAGATAGAATAACCTCCAATTAAATCAATCACTTTCGTATCTTCATTCAACCAAGCAAATGTTTTCGGCTCCGCTTACTCTTCCCCCACTCCGCCGTTCAAGATACAACAGGTAGCTCCATCGCTTGAAATAAGTCGAGAGCTCATGTCCACTGGGCTTGACACAGCCTTGCAATCACCCATGCTAAATTGCGTGAGTAGGTCATCCACACACCTGCGCTGACACAATGTAACGCTTCCATCTTCTCCATTCAAAAGCTCAATTTCAAGAACAAATGCACACTTGCCGCTCTCAGTCATCTCGAAGCGTGTATTCAGGTCTTCCTTGGTGTGTGCAATCAACTTGGGTGAGCTTCCTGTCACCAACACGTCATCCACATAGACACTGGTCTTCCAAAATCTTGATGTAAAGACATGGGTCAAAGTCTGACACTTGAAATCCAATGGAACACACAAACTCGTCAGAAGTCTCGTTCCATACTCGCGAAGCTTGCTTCAGGCCGTAAATTGCCTTCACCAATTCCAGTCAAAGTCATCATCCAGTTCAACACCTTCAGGAATCACGCAAAACACTTGCTCCTTCATCACACCATAAACAAAGGCAGTCACCACATCATGTTGGTCAAGTGTCCATTCAAAATGCTTGGCAACCGCAATGACTATGCGTAAGGTCACATACTTGACCACGGGCGAAAACGTCTCCGTGTAGTCGATTCCATACTTCTGGCAAAAGCCCTTTGCCACGAGACGTGCCTTGTACTTCTCGATGGATCCGTACTGCTTTGCGTTTGATCTTGAATACCCACTTGGTACCAATGGCACGCTGTCCGTTGGGCAACTTGTCTGCACAAAACACTCCACAAAGTCGCATTGACTCAAGCTCCGCATGAATCGCCTTACGCCAGTGCAATTGATCAGGGCCAGTCACTGCTGCTTCAAATGTCGACGGCTCCGACAAATCCACTGCTGTTTCAACAGAATTTGCACTCGCACGCCAAAACACAGTCAGAGTCGATTCGTCCGATTCTTTCGTTTTTTTTTATCTTTTTCTTCTTGTTGCGGCGAATCGTTCTTTGGTTCACTGGTTATGTCCAATCCAGGCCGTTGACGTACAGTACGTGGAGCTGATCACCCGAGCGATTCTTAAGCTTGCCAGTTTGCTGATACTCCATTTGACGCAAACTTTCATTATCAAGACCAAGCGAGTCAATTACAAGTCATCGACGACGTTATCTTCAACCGGTGGCGAAAGTCCAAAGCTTGACTCGTTGAAGTTGACATCCCGACTGACAACAACCTGACCCGCCTCAATGTCAAATACACGATATGCCTTGGACACTTCTTCGTAGTCCAAAAAGTTTCCCGCTTGAGCCTTGGGATCCCACTTGAGTCGCTTCTCCTTCGGAGTCAGTATAAACGTCTGACAGCCGAATACTCGCATGCGCTTTACACTTGGCTTGGAGTTGTACACGATCTCAAACGGGGTCTTGTGCACAACTTTGGATGACGGTAGGCGATTCTTGATGTAGATGGCCGTCATTGGTGCTTCAGCCCAGAAGCACTTGTCCAACTTGGCACGGTGAAGTATGCTGCGGCCGATCGTGACGATAGTCCGGATGGCGCGCTCTGCTGTTCTGTTGGTCTGGTGTGCATACGGCACCGTAGTCTGTTGTTCAATGCCTTCATCCTCGTAGAAATCTTGAAGCGAGTTCGTCGCAACCTCGCGAGCTCCGTTGTGGCGCACAAACTTGACCTTTTTGCCGAACTGCGTCTGCACCATCGGGATATACTTCCGAATGTAGTCTTCGCTTGCTGACTTCATGCGTAGACAGAACCCCTTCATACATCCACTCGCCTCATCCACGATCAACAGCAGGTATTTGCTGCCGCCCAGTGAATCTTGCTCCATGGGGCCACAGATGTCGAAGTGCAGCAACTCAGACGTGTCGTAACTTCGCTTGTCACGATTGCTTGGGTATGGTTTTTGGACCATTTCCCCTTGCTGACATCCTCGATATGTACCTGATCCACTTGACTCGAGAGGTACTCCCACATCTTTGATCATGTTGTTGGAGACCATCTTGCAAAGCACGTCGACTGGAGCATGACCCGTACGTGCATGCAAGACAGCACCTTTTTGACTTGTCGCTGTATTTACCGATGGACGTGCCATGCAAAGCCAGTAAAGTCCATCCACAAAATCTGCAATCGCCACCACTTGATGTGAGTCTTTGTGAGCAACATACATCCTGGCCCCCTCAAACACTACTTGAAACTTGCCATGCTTGTTGATCTGGGGCACCAAGAGCAGATTCTTGCTCATTCTGGGCACATACAAAGCGTTTTTGATCTCGATTCCACGCTATTCACCATTTGGCAAAACCACCTTTTCAATGATGGTTCCCACACCCTTGATGTCAACCTTGTTACAATCAGCTACCAGAATTTCGCGACCATTGCGAACGACCAAACTGGAAAATTTAGCTCTATCATGACAGATATGGTGAGTCGCACCACTATCAACTGCCCACATCCCCGACACATCCTTTTGTCGAAACTCCACATTCCAAAGAAACTGCAAATGCTACTCGATCGTGGCTGTTGCCTTCATCATTGTCCCCACTGGACATTATTAGACCCCATTGCCGCCGCGTCGGGATCCTCGACCTTCATTCTTCTGCTTCGTCCAACAGCGATCCACTTCGTGTCCTACCTTGCCACAATACGTACATTGGTAAGGCTCACGCTCGGTGCTGAATGCCTTGGTTGCATCTTCAGCTTTCACCGTTGTCGCTGTTGTCGTCACCTTCTCCGCTTGGAGCTTGGCTTGCTCATTCGTCAGCACCTTCACCACATCTTGGGTACGAAGCTCTGCATTGCTCATCTCCAAGTTCAGTGCCACGTTCTCAAAACTCTCGGGAGACTCAGCAACGAGCAGATCGCGATGTCTTCGTCTTCCATCTTGGCGCCAATGCTACTGAGCTTGGCGCCGATGCTCAACACATCATTGCAGTGATTCAAGACGTTACCACCTTCAGCCATCTTCATGCTGAACATCTGACGCTTGAGGTAAATCCGTCCGGTCTTCTGCGACCCACCGTATAAAGACTTAAGGCGTGACCACGCAACTCACGCTTCCACACAGTCGTCGACCACATGGTGATAATCCGCACCCATGTGGAGCAACATCAAACCACACGCGATGTTGCTCGTCTTGACGTAGTCTTCCTGCGCCCGTGGCTCCACAAACGCTGGAGAGTTCTCCCGGTTGACCACATGCCACACCAACTTGGTGAGAAGCACACCACGCATGTATCGACGCCATGCCGCATCATTGTCCCCATCAAATTTATCGATGGAGACGTTGGGCATGCGTGGGCGGCAGAAGACATGGTACTTGGGCTCATAACCTGTTAAGGGGAGAGCGCGGAGCGGATAGAGGGAGCAAAAAAGCCGAAGGGAACGAAGAGACCGAAGAGAGAGCGGAGCGAAAGACACTTGCTCTGAAGTTGGAAGATTCAAAAGTGATTAATTTAGTCGGAGGCTATTCGAAAAACAGTCTGATAATATGTTGAACAAATATAAAGTCAGTTGTGACTGTTTTTACCAGTGATTATGTATGGGCCACATATAAATCATGTAGATCATCCTATCAAGCTACTCATCCAGTTAAGTATGACGTAATTACCTGTAAGAACGCGTCTGTAATAATTAAGACTTAGCATTCGGATTGTATTGGTAACCCTCAATAAGCATGGCAAGTTTCAAGTAGTGTTTGATGGGGCCAGGATGTATGTTGCTCACAAGGACTCGCACCAAGTGGTGGCGACTGCATATCTTGTGGATGGACTTTTCTGGCTTCACACGGCACGTCCATTGGCAAATACAGCGACAAGTCAAAAAGGTGCTGACTTGCATGCGCGTATGGATCATGCTCCAATTTGACGTGCTTTGCAAGATGCTCCCCAACAACATGATCAAAGATGTGGGAGTACCTCTCGAGTCAAGTGGATCAAGCACATGTCAAGGGTGCCAGCAAGGAAAAGCGGTCCAAAAACCATTCCCAAGCAATCGTGACAAGGAAGTTACAACACGTTTGATTCGCGTCCTTAGAGCCAAGGATAGGGAGCAGCTTCTGCAACCCTTCCTGTTGTGCCTGTTACAAGCCAATCGCAAACATCTCTTCGATGTCCATTCTCACACAGAGAAGTAGTCGCAAACTCAGGTGCGGGATTTACTACAAGTGCTACCAGGTGCAGCAGAGCAACTGTAGCAAAGCTACTTATGCACTAAGTGCAGAGGATGACAAGCTCCAAGAGCTTATACGTCTTAGGGTTCTTAACAATCCCAAGGCTAGCTCTACAAGCTTATGCCTTTTGGTTGTATATAACCACGTCTCCAAGTGACTGGTATTAAAGGTACAATTCCTTACAAAGGAATAGAAAGCTTTAGTACGTGTGCTGTTGAGAGCAGATTTGAAGCTAATTTAGTTAATTTCACAGCCACACCACAATGGTGTGGCAGGCGTTTATGTACAATACACACCTCTGTGTGACCTCGTTACAGAGACTGCGCAACGAACAGATTGCCACGTCTTGGTCCTCCATCTTAGCGCCGATGCTAGCCAGCTTTGTTCTGATGCTGAGAACCTCGTTGCAATGATGTATCACATTGCCGCCTTTTGCCATCTCCATACGGAAGAGCTGACGCTTCAGGTAGATGCTCCAGCCTTCTGCGATTCACCGTAAAGCCTCTTCAAGCGCGTCCGTGCGACCCCATGCTTTCTCGCAGTCACCAACCACGTGATGACATTCTGCATCCATGTGAAGTTACATGAGACCGACCGCTATGTTGCTCGACCTGACGTAATCTTCCATGGGACGAGGGTCCGCGAAGTTCGGCGTCTTCTCACGGTTGATGACGTGCCAGACCGACTTGATCAGGAACACTCCACGCATGTAACGACTCCAAGTCGCGTAGTTGTCCCCATCAGACTTATCTATGGAGATCTTGGAGGACACTTCTTGGGCAGTGGACATCGTACTTGGACTCATAACCTGATGGAAGGTATGAGACTTGGTCTTGCGAAGCTTGGTAGAAAACGAAGGAGTCTGAACTTGAAGGTTGAAGACGACTTGAGCAGAAGATGGTAAACTGGAAAGTGATTGATTTACAAGAGCTTTTTTGATCCACCAACTGATTAATATTCAGTCCGCATATAAGTCAGTTGCGACTGTTCACGTCCTGATTTATATGTAGTCCACATATAAATCATGTAGATCTTCCTATCAAGCTACTTGTCTAATCAACTATGACCTAATTACCTGCAAGAACTATGCCGTAAATACTATCTATAACAGCCCGGATCGTACCGGTAAACCTTCAATAGCCACGAAGCTGCATCGGCTCGAGTTTCGCTTCCAAAGCTCACTTATTGCATCTTGGAAAGTTGCGGGTTAACAAAGATCACTTGGATCTACTGCGTTGGAACTAGCACACCAGAAAGCTGAAGGCGTGGAGTCATTATCGTGATCACTCATACCTTGTTTCTCTTCTTTGTCATCATAATGTGGAACGTCTTGTCCATATGACCGACTTCTATGATGACGATCATACAAAACATCTGGTGTACTTGCATCTTCCAACCCAGTGTGCGGACGAGCAGAGTGAACAACATTGTTGTTAAGCCGGTATTTGCGCTTGCCTGTCTAAATATGGTGAAGAAGTTGATTTTCGTGGATACTTCGATGCAAACTGGGCTGGATACCATTCCGACCGCAATTCGACTTCGGGATATGCGTTTCTATTAATGAGCGCACCGATCAGTTGGGGACACAAGAAGCAGTCAAAAGAGTCGCTGTCAACGAGCTAAGCTGAGTGCAATGTACTCAGATTAGCGATCCAAAAAGAAAATTTGGTTCAAATTGCATTTCCTTTACTAATTGAAAGGTGGTGTCCCTTCCAGATCAGCTGATGCAAGTGTTCTTGATCCTCGGTCTGTGGAGATCGTGATCGTATTTGAATACCATCACATTTTTAACTTTTTTTGTAGACACCACAATTTTTAGGATCGCCATGTGTTGATCCACATCTTCCTCAAACAGTATGCATCCGTCGTGAAAGTAGGTTAACTCCTGGTTGTTTCCAGAAAGTTTCCCCGTAGCGATCGAAGTTGACATGTTGACCGGTAAATCGCACTGACTTTGAGGATAACTACCTAAGTTTTGCACTTCACAGCGGATAACGCTCAAATTGGTGCAATAGCAATATGATAGCTTGCACCGAAGCTTGATCGACGTCCATAAGCTCTTTGTTCACGTTGATCACAAATTGTGCTTTCGGTGATTATGGATTCTCACACTCATTGCCATGGTCTAAGTTCCTAATTACGTCCTCATCGACTACGATAAAGCTTCCTCCGACTGTGTAGCCCTTTCGTGTAATACATTTCTTGGGCGACTTTACATCTTCGTCTGTGTAGCATACTGCAAATTATCGACGAGCGTTCCAGCCTCTTGCGCCAACATTTCTTTCTTCTTATCCACGGTAGCCTCAAACACAAGTATTTACCATTCATTGTAGCTCCGCAATCCAACTGAGACATGAGCTGAGATCGCTGTTTCATATTATCAGCCAACCACAGACCTAAGGGCGATCCATGTTGGAGTATCACCTTCCCTCACTGAAGCTCGTCAGGTGCAGATATTTGGTACTGCCGGGACTTCAGTGACATTTGGCACCCATTCGGAATTGCGCTTACCCAAAGCTTTTTTTTGCATTCACTGGGCCCACTCCAATCCTCACTTTTGCCGATCCACCCACTAACTAACGACATGCTGATCGTTCGCACTAACCGCTTGCAAGGTGGATCGGTACGGCAGTCTTTGTCCTGCCAGATTAATTCTGACTTCATTCGGCAAACGAAGTGTTTCATCTGCCAGATCCAGACGTATTCCAGCTGGAACGATAAAATACATGCTTAAGATTGCCTAATGTCCGACCTGATCGCCAACTCAAGCATCAAAGTTATACACTAGCGATACATTCAAAGTGGTCTTGATTTTAGCTCGTCCCTCCTTCATATACATGCTCACACCAATTCCCACACATTCTTTCTTCTGGCCCTCGTCTATAAATATCCTAACTTACGAGCAGAGGCTACGTTGATACGCACGTAATGTTTCCTCCATGGCATCTGCATCTTTCAATCTTAATAGCGTCAGCTATTTTGCCAGATTGCGATCATCCAAAGTTTCGATGAATTGCTTACGTGCTCACTACAAGCAATGAGTGATCCATCTTGTACTGGAACCTTCGCTATCATTCCCGCCACGTTTAATCGATACCGATACTCTAAAGAAATTTCATCTGATCTTGTTCATGCGTAATATTAGTGCCTTTCAGCAGATACACCATACCCTCCATACTGAACCATGAAATTTTCCAAGAGTGATTTCCAAGGATTGTGCGTCGATCGGCTTAACTAGGCACCCAGTCTCGCGCCGGTCCCGTAAGTAAATCACTGAAAACCAAACACTTTTCCACATCCGGTGCCTGATCGCGTAGGAATGCAGAATTGATCTTGCAGATTCAACATCTGGCTCGATCCTTTTCCTTGTCTCTTCCAAAAAGCTCCTTTAAATCTGCGATCGCCGACGCTCGAATATGCTGGGCAAAAAATACTCCACTAGACATAGCCTCTGCAGTCCCAGGCCAAGATCATCCGAATTGTACTTGTGTGACCAACTACCAATTGATGTCATCTCAATATCTTGAATATACGATCCGCCAATAGGCGGAGTGTAGCCAGGTTCAAGAAAACACGATCTCCTAAGGTCATATTCCCACAATTACTGTTCCTTACGTAATATTGCTAAATACTGTCTAGTTTGATAAAACTTGCATCGATACCAAATGATAGAGTCAATGCCATGTACTGGTACACCAAATGGGTGTATCTGTTCATGTTTTTGGGTCAAGACATTTTCAGCTTTTATCGTAAATAGGCATTGCTGCCCGCAGCGCTCCTGTATGAGAAAAGCGCTTTTTTCTAACGCGTTTTATATCACTTTTTAGGGTTTGGATGGGTGCTTAAGGCATACAAGTCTTTTGCAACCAAGGCGTTTGGCCGCTGTTGTGTCTTCGGTCGCGTAGTTTAAATCTCGTCGTAAGCCACACGCATGTCAAAAATGTTACATCTGCTGAAGAGCGTTGTAACTAGGTTGAAAGCAAAAAGCTTCTATAGTGCGGTCCGACTAGCTTGTTCCATTCAAGCGCCTGAATGAAGAAGGGCAAAAGAAAGTAACCTGCCTAGCAAAACCTCATGATCCTCATCGATAATCGTCTGTGCGGATGCGTTGTAGCTCTTTGTCCGTAGTAGTTCTTTTGTATCCTTCAATTGAATCATTGCAAGCAAGACTACACGTTCACAAGATAAAGTCAGTTCACATGACTAACTACAAACAGTTTACATAGTAACTCACTCCTCATAGGGGCCCAGGCGTCCGTTGCTGCGTAGGCGATCTGCGCCTTGCTCAGAGTAGGCGCTTCCCAGTCCGACACTTGCATCTCTTTATGCAGCGACCCTCCCAAAAAGATCTGACACAACGTCTTCAAACCAGGTCGATTGCATCCAAGCTTGTGTGCTATATATAGTGTGTCTACCGTCGAGTTTACCACTTGTACAAAGTCCGATGCCTTCAACTGACGAAAGTCGTCGCTTAGTGCGTGACCAACTTTTAATACGCCGGGGTCAGCAAAGAGCTGTTGCAGCACTGGAGGCAGTTTTCTTCCTCGTTGCAACCTATACAAAAACGCTCTTTCGAGAGTACTGACCTGAATCAAGCACACGGGATTACCTTTATTTCCATTTAGCGGGTGAAAGTCTGGTCTCGCTTCCGTGTCTACGCCCACGACTTTCTGTTCTTTCAAATACTGTGCATACTTTTGTTCCTCTTTCTCCGAATGAATCACTGAAATTATTCCATCAAAACTGGTCGTAGGTAGGTCTTCGTAGTCACTTAGCGTCCTCATTCCCAAGTGACGAAACAGTGTGGAGCCCTCACGGAACAATGGTAAATGTTTCACGCGTGCATGTTTTGCCTCTTTTTGTCGTAGCATTCGTGCAAATTCTTTTTGACGTTTATACTCATCTGAATCGAAAGATTTGACATCTGTTGTTTTTTGTATTATATATGGGCTAAAAACGGATGTTGTAGGCAGCGGCATTTGCTGCAGTTTCTTCGTAGCAAGTACTGTACGAAGGCGATTCAATTGCTTGCGTTGTTTTTGACCTATCGTAGAGATTCCAGCGTTGCTGTTACTGGTATAAATATTCCTCGTACTGGTAAAACAAGCGGACAGAGCCCACATGAGTCTGGAAACGCACTTAGTGGATTGCAGAAATAGCATTTATTACAATGTCTTTTAGGTCTGATGATCAAATATAATTATTACATTACTCTTCTTATTTCAGAATAATGACAAAAAGATAAAAAAACATTAAACATGCCCGAGCTATGCGGTCAGCAACGAATAAATTGATTTTTGTATATCGACGCATTTCATTAGATCATTATAGCTCGTGATAGAATGAGACCATTAAAATCACAAAATACGACAATTGCATTATAAAGGCTAAGAGTTGGATCGCAGTTGTCAGCTCATTTTCAGCTACCTTCGAACCGTTGAGTAAAGAAAGAAGGAGCGCCTATACAAGAACAGCGCGTCGCTGAATCGATGGTCATCGCTTTGACGGCGATGCCGTCGGACGCCTTCGGGCGTCTCCAGCAATACAACATACACTTTCCTGCGGGACCGGTTCAGCCGAAGTCGGCAGCACAGACAGGCGCTTGTTACGTAAAATATACGCGGAAATGGAAACGTTATCAAGCAAACAGGATGTTAGTATGGCAAGATGTGTCGTTGTGGAACGATCGGAGGCGTGCTGCCTCCAGAAAGCCCATGCATTCACCAAGGAGAAGGTCACTACACGTAGCGGCAGTGGAAACATCTTTGGGCCCCACTGCGGCCTCGCGGTTGGAACCCCTGTCGCATTAGATTATAGGGGCGAGCTCTGCTGAGGAGGCGTAAATATTGCTTTCGCTCATTTGTCCAAGCAAATCGATTATGCGCCTCTTTTCTTTTGCTGTACCTATATCCTCTATCCTTTTCTAAAGTCATACAACCATTTTACTGAACGCAATCACTCGTAGGATGTCAAAAACGTTATAAGCTATTGCTAACTAGCGTTTTCTTTGATATTGCGGTAGGCCTTGATCTCGAAAGAGACTGACGTTAGCTGGCACTCTACAGGACCAAGTTCACACTGTAACAATTCATAACGCGACACGAACGTGATAAATTTTTTAATCTGTACGACTCACTACATGCATGATATCGAAAGTATTAGACAAGTGTTGTCAGTAGACGATCCCATTTTGACCTCTAAGCCAAAGCAGCAATCGCCTGAGGGTCCGCATTGAAGAGCTCATGCAGGTCGTATTTGGTCTTGATCTTCTGAAGCTTACCGAAGTTGGGGCCGCCGTACAAGTATTTGGCCATCTCGGGCACCGTCCACATCTCGTCCCGGTACGTCGTAAAGCCACCGGGCACGCCACCTGAAGCCTTGTAAGCGTCCACAAACTTGTAAAAGTTGTTGCGCATCGTGGTTATCGAGCTTTTCGCGAATGGAATGTCAAAGGCCGACGAACGCATGTCCCATCGAATTAGGAGCAGGCTGTCGTCATGCTTCCAAGCCGAAGCGTCAGCACGAACTCCCCTGGCGTACTTGCCACCCCAAATGTCTACAAAGCCAGAGGCAGAGGCGTCCGGAAGCTTGGGAGCAAAGGCGGTATTAGTGAACAGCGCTGTGGCCGTGGCGTTGGTAAGAGGGGTAAGTCTGGGGATTGTCACCGATGCAATGAAGAAGTAGCGGCGGGGTGTAAGCGTCCCGTCGAAAATACCAGCAGTTGAGATGCTCTCCGACACCCAGAAGCTGTTCTCGGTTGTGGTCAAGACCATCGATGTAGGAAGTCTCTTCATTAGCGAGCCTAACACCTTCTTGGCATGTAAAGTAGAGCCGTAAAAAAAGCCTTGCAGCGTGGATTTAGTCTTCAAAGTGAAACGGATCGAAAGAAAGTCGTTGTTGTCATTGCTCAGAGCCCAATTCTGTGTGCCAATAAGAGCATCGACGTTGTCCTGTATGGTTGTATTAATGCTTTCGCCAAAAGCGATGGTGTAATTGGTCACATACTGAGAAGGAAATGGATAGGTTTTAGTCTTAAAATCCAGTACGACACCCATGGAACTGGCGGCACCACGTACAGCCCAAAACAAGTCCGAGTTTTGTCTGAAACTAGCATCCACTATGGAACCGTTGGCAATCGCCACACGCGCAAATACCAAGTTGTCTAGCGCAGTACCGTAAGCACGCGAAAGGGTGCCGAAGCCGGAGGCGGACACACCAGTCATGCCGACATCCCCGCAACGACCGTGGGGAAGCGTGCGCTTGTACGTTAACAAATACTTGGCTGCTTCAGATATCGTGACGGGACCACCAAATGAAAGCAGTTTGGTCGACTTGTCGTACTTGAGATGCGACATATACTTGAGATTAATCACCAAAGCACCGTCGTTGCGACCGAAGCCCATACTCGAGAATGAACGGTTGCCACCAAGCGTGGTCACTTTGACGCCGCAGCTAGCAGCGCACTTCAAAGCAGCAGAGACTTCTTCCTCTGTCTGGGGGAATACGACGGATGAAGGGTTGGGGCTCACACGTGAATTCCACGCCTCAGTGTCAATCGCCCACGTTGAGGTGGTGGGAACCGAGTGTTCGATACCAGCTTTCTTCAGACAAGCACCAATGTCGGTCTGCGTTGTCACCGAAGCATCTGCAAAGCCGCGCTGAGCAGTAATGAGGGAGCATAGAGCGAATATTGCGCGGCTATTGCGAGAGACCAAGACCACCATGATTGCGAGGTGCTCGAAGTAGTGAAGGTTTAAGTACTCAAGGGAAAATGTAGAAATGATTACAGCTATGCCAATGGCACTGCCACACTCAAAAACAACTTGTAACTGATATAGCATTGTAAACACACGCCATCTGTAGATATCATTGCGAAGTTATAAGAGAAGTAAGGATGTATACCGTCGCAACAGAAGCACCTGGACAAGCGTTCCGACTGCATTCCATCCCACAATAGATTAAAATCAAGTGCATGATATGTTTTGAGTCATTTGGCATGATGATGTATTCCTTACAAACTGTTTCAACCATATGTCCACTACATTCTTATTCGAGACGATCCAAGTGCTATTCGAGCATTACATAAATAAATACTTGTGTGGCAGTCGGAATAAAAAATTGTTCGAACTACCTATATGCGTCGGTGTTAGCAAGTCTTTCAACGGTTATTACATGGTGTATATGGGCCCTAACGAACACTTACATCAACTTTACTACAACAGATAAGAAGATTTTTTTGTTATGTAAAAGTAGCATTACTTTGGTTTAGTGTCACAGATGATATTTATTATTATTACACATGGTAAATTGTTCACATTAGTAATCAGCAAGTGCTAATTGTCAATGATAAACATCACGATATCCTGGTCGGGTTGGGGTAACGCCCTCCCGGAAGGCTTGGGCTACCTGATGCTAGCTCCGGCCTCTGACGGGTGCTTCGCGGCACCCGTCAGTTTGGACGGGTTTCCTCTCCCTTTACACACGTCTCTCTTGTCGCTCTCCCCCCCAGCTGCCAGCCAAGCCGCCACGCCGGAAGCCCCGAAGTCCCAGCATCTCCGCTTAGGTACGCTCGCGTCATTCTTTGTTCACGATGCAAGCAACGAAAACCTCCCTGGGCCTGTTGACAAGATAGACATCCAAGGGATCAGGCAAGAAACCACGCTGGACACCGCCGTCAACTGGCCCCAGTTGTCCTTTGCCGGGTTTGGCCTGCCTTTAAGGCAATGCCAAACTCGGCAAAGGACAATTCAGACCTGTACCTCCTTCGCCAATGTACACAGGATCGTGCAGTCTGGACGGCCTCCAGCGCGGCGCTTATAGCGCGCGCCGCTTGGACCCTGGAGAGAGTAGAGAGAAATGTAGAGAAGTAGAGATAACCTGACGCATGCGGAAGTTGAGCCACTTTGGTGGCAAGACCGCTCGCGTAAAGCGTTCACATACACACATACATCACGATACATCATCTATACATTTCTGATAAAAACACATTCTTAGTGGTGCATAAGTGGAATAGGTTCAACAGAGATTCATCAATGATAACGTAAAGCCGATACATATGCACTTCACATGCAAGATCGATCCACCTAATCTAGTGAGCCTCCAACTCTCCCTCGGGTAATCATCCAGCACGTGCTAGTAATGGAAAATAGATGAACGGGTTCGATTGAGGAAAAAGGTGGCAAACATACAAAGTCCCTGCCCTGTTACGAACTTGTGGAATAGCCTCGTAAGTGAGGAGCTTCGACGTCATGTGGATGTCGAACCAAGATTGTTAATTGAAATGAAGACTATGAAAAGTGACACTATTAAGGAATAGAACGACAGGAAAAAACGTAGGTGACGAATGGCATGTTGTTCTAAATGCGCTCTAGCTGGCAAACCAAGTATAGCATTTATACTACGATACTGTCTGCATTTGCCTACGTATGCCATTTGCAGCGCCCCTGATCGGCATACAAATAACTTTATTTCAATGATAAAAAGCAGTACTCGATTGACAATGGCCGCTTTGCTTTGATAGTGAGAGCTTCAGAATGTGCTGTTTAGAACAAGGTTCCAAGGTATGTCTTTGGCCTAGCTAAGATAACGCCTGCGATGGAGTGCGCGACACTGCGTCAGGGCGCTCCTTACAAAAATCGTGAACTCTCTCGGTGCGTGGGTGAGGCTCTCGATGCACGCATGTAATGTGCGCCGCGGATGGCAGCATCTGTCTTGCGATGGTCGCGCGCTGCAAGCGCCCGGGATGTATCCAGGTGCCCCTCCCATTCGGTAGCTCTCAGATAAAGGTTGTAAACGGCGTAGATTTTGTCGGTCTTACCAATAGCGAAGCGATGTCCTCGTCAAATTCCAGTGAATTCCTGTGCTGGCCACATTCAGGCAAATTGCTGCTGTCGTGAGCGACCCAGATCGTGCCCATCTATCTTATATCACGCTAGGAACGGTGACCTGCCACAGGAAGTCTTGCGTAAACGGCGGAAGTGACAATCTGAGGACGTCGACTTCGTTAAGAGAAGTTCCAGCATCCCGCCATAAGTACGGCAATCGCCCGGCGGTGTGAAAACTAAGCAGTGATTGGCATGGGAAGACGACGGAAACGTGAAGGGGGTATTCCGTTCATCTGATGTCAAAAGCGCTTAAGAGCCCTCAGCAGCTTGGTTGTAATAATGTCGCGGCCGCAGCTCAGCGAGTTCTCGGCCTAAGATCCGCGCGTTGTCTGCCTACGAGATGTGTCCCCGAACGGCTGCAGAGCACCCGCCATAGATGATCCTCGCCCGCTCACGGAGGGACCGAATCTTGCAGGTGTAGTATTTCCACTTGGGTCCTTCCCATCAGCTCTCGGCGGCTGCTCCTAGTCGTCGCCAATGCGAAATTATTGGGCGCCGGACCATAATGGTTTGCGATGGGTAATGCGCAAGATATGTACCCAAACGGTATTTAATAGCGCATCAGGTCGTCAAGGAAAAGCCATTTGCGAATCCCGTAGTGTGGTGTTGGTATGTTCGTTCGATGCATGCCTTCTCGTCGTTCACATGATTCAAATCTACAGTGTATTAATCCGACCAACGCGTCAACCATTGCATGGCGTGCTTCTGCCGTTGTGTTTTGGCTGCGAACTAATTTAAATACTTTCTACTGTACGTGGTTCAACAAGAAGGTCAGGGTGGACCTTATGGTGACCGGGTTTGGAATCAGTGGAATGGTATCATAACAATGGCTTATACAGGTTCTCGCAATTGCTGAAAGTCCAGGACGAGAACCAAAGACTGCAGCCGTAAAGAGCATCGCAGGCAACACAATCGTATTGAGGATCAGCATGCAATTTGTTACACTAGTCGCGACGGAAATTTATGTGCGAAGAGGTGGCGTCGCACGTTGCTCATTTGGAGTGCCCAGTTCGGATATTTCGTCGCCCCGGTTCTGACTTGGTACCCCAACTACCGCATCGATGGAAATAATTGATGACGACCGTGTTGACGAAGATTATTTGACTCTAATTGGGCTGCACCTGCAAACCCTGAAAGTTAGCCATACCGGTTAACCATATCCAAGGCCGCAGGACCTGGTTCGCGTGGCGCAGGAAGATCATGGAGTCGTCGATGAAGGCCGAGAAGACGTGAATTTGGTCAGCCCGCCGTGGGAAGGGAGACGTTGGAGTCAAGAATTCTGTTGGACATCCAGCCCCAAGGCCTCCGCCGCTAGTAAAAAGAGGAGAGGGGCTGATGGGCAGCTCTGTTGTATACCGGATGTAATAGGCGTTGGCTGTGTGTGGGATCCCATTTGTCAGAGAGCGAATTCATGTCGGTCGGTAATAAGAGGTGTTTACTAGTGTAATCAAGTTGCTGAGCAGCCAAAATTGGTGCAGCATATCTATTATAAATTCTCTGTCCACGGCATCATACGCCATCTTAAATTCCAGAAAATTAAGCTTCCTGAAGTCAATAGCTACCTCCATCCAGGAAGGCCGCCGTCATGAACTAGGCAAGCATCATAACGACTACTTTCTGCATGTGGCGCTCCTTAACAAACTCCTGTTGCGTATCGTCAATCCATGCGGAATGATCATCTGCAGTCTCGTTGCGACAACCGCTGAAAACACCTTGTACGGAGTCTGCAGCAGGGAAATGGGATTACAATCTATTGTGTCGATTGGGTCACTCAGTTTCCGCAGAGGAATTACAAAAGCCATAACAAAGAAGGCCGAACGGACTGCTACGTTCATTATCTAATTAGCTACCGCTACGAGAGTCGGCACCATGTTGGACATCATATCCTGGTAAAGTCGTTATTGAGCCCGTCTATCCCAGCCGCTTTGTTCCGAAGCAGAGGTACTGGCGCCTACCACTGCTAATGACAGAGGTACTGGCGCCTACCACTGCTAATGACAGTGGTAGGCACCAGTACCTCTGCTTCAGTAAGGGGCGCCATGAAGCGCGCATTTTCCATCCGTGTCAACTTACGGGCAGTTGGAATCGTGACTAAGTCGGTAAAGTCCGCGCCACGTGCTAGAAAGTTTGCTTGCGACGCAAGTTTATAAAACGACACAGAGCTTTGAAACGTCGTGATGGCCGAGTGAATGGCCGGCCATAAATCACACGAATCCAGAGCCGGTGTTTTACGTACCCATTTCGATACATCAAGATGTATTGCATTTGCCATGTTTTCGACGTCGGTTCGAGCTAGTTGCCAAGTCGAATCATAAGGTTTGCCGTCCGCTCCCTATTCCGCTTGAATTAAAGGCCTACGCGTCGCCAGACCGCACCTTGCTCGCGCGTACCGCCAGCCGTGTTGTTTCGACCGCTGCGCGATCCGTCAAAATGGCGGCTGCATCTGCGCTGGATGTATTCATTACAGGATGGCGAAGCCCGGCCTTTGCTGGTGAATGTCCGTCAAGAACTATGTAACAACCCACTCCGGCTGTCCATATTGGACAGGATACACCACCGCGTGAACCCGTGGAAGATATAAGGTCACTTGTTGGTAGTCAGAATTCTCAGGCAGCAAGGACGACCATACTCATAGGACTTGACCTCTTGAGGCAGCCAGAACGTAAAAAAATTGATCGACACGACTAGCCAAGCAAACTGATCGCGGGGATCAACTACCCGGTCTTCAAGTGGGTGCTCAATCAGATCGACATCGCCAGCCAACGCAAAGGTCGCCACCTGCCGGCCGGCGCCGGATCTGGCCGGCGTCGTGTTCTGTATCCAAGCCGGCCGAAATGCAGATTTTGACCGCAGTTGAAGTCCCCAATCAAAATGTCGTATGGAGCGGTGCGCCATGTTCGAGAAGTTGATGATAACACAGCTAACGTTTGGACGAGTGTTTGGCACATAAATGTTAACCAAGATCTCCCAGCTTTATAAGAATGAAACACGAGGTGATGGCTTGTAGAGAGAGCTACTAATAACACAACATGTGGCTACACTGCTGGAAGTACTTGGATACATACATATCTAGTCGTGTATTGGAATATGTAGGTGTAAGGTGCGCGGGTCACCATCAGCTAACGTGATATTGCTTTCATGTAAGAATTCAAGTGTATAATCTATTTGTTAACACAAACAGATACAACTGTTTGTGTTGTACATACACGCCAACCACACCATTGTGGTGTGGCTTACCTTCAGTACATTAATAGGTTGATGTAACCTTACCTTGTGAAACGTGTCAAAGGGTAAAAACCTTGCTTAGTATGTCTTCGCCTTTGGCGAGTTTGCCTGTACCCTCGGGGTTGTAGCAGTCCATTAGTGTGGACTTTGTGTTTGGCCTACCGCGTGATGCGACTGGAAACATTGGAATTGTGGTCTTTGTTGACCGACTGGGCAAGATGGCTCATTTAGCGGCAGTGCCGGACTCCATTGATGGAGAATGAACAGCAAAGCTGTTATGGATCGTGTATTTAGACAACACGGATTGCCTATGGCAATCGTCTCTGATGAAGGCCTCCGTTATACGGGTAAGTTTTGAACGTCAGTCTTTAAAGCGGTGGGCACTCGACTGGACATGTCCACGGCAGATCATCCGCAGACCGATGGTCAGAGAGAACGCGTGAATCGTGTTATTGGTGATATTCTTCGGAGTGCTTGTGCTGAAGTACCCAAGCAATGGATTCACGATGCTCCCACTTATTGAGTTTGCGTTGAATAACGCGGTGCATGCCTCGAAAGGCTTCACCCCATTCTATGTAAATGGTTTGGTCAACCCTCGCGTTCCGTTAACACTACCCCCCTGCCGCTTCAGGGCTTAGTGGGGGAAAGATATCCGCAAGCTTGGCTGATATCAGCCCTGTTGAGATTCGCAAGAAGGTGGAAGCGTTTCTATCAACGCGTTTTGACGTATTACGTCCCGTAAAAGACACTATGGCTGAAAGCAAAGATGTTCAAAAGGAACAAGCAGATGCCAAAGGCAGAAAGAATGAACACGAGTTCAAAGCGGGTGATTTGGTTTTACTAAACTCTAGAAATTTACCTACTCGTGCAGTGTCTACGGTATATAAAACCAAACTACATCCACGCTTTATTGGACCTTTCAAGGTCATAAGCAAGAAAGATTTATCCTATACGCTGAACTTTTCGAAGAAGATGCAAACACCACCTGAGCTCTATGTGGGCTTACTGAAGCCATATCTCAACCCAGCCTCGGTGGACTTCAAAGGGTCGTCCCCATACCCCCGGTCAAAGATGACGGATAATACAGCACCGGAGGTGTATTTAGACGCTGGCGGCGTACCAGGAGGTCAAGTTGACACCGGATCTCGGCTTGAGAGCGCTTGATTGACGCTAAGCGATCCGAGGTCTCAGAGCAATAATGCTCAAATAATCAACGGTGTAGACCAACATGGTCATCGATCGATGACACGTGAGACGTCACCGACCCTAGAGCATCACGCCCCAGCCTCGTTAGGCGACGCTCCATCTCAGCGAGATCATGGGTCAATGGGTCACTGACCTCCGCCGACGCTGATTGATGAACTGGATCATCAACAGTTCCACGTCGGGCGCCTCTTGGTTCGGCGTCGTCTCCAAGGTTATACCCAGTATCTGGTGAAATGGAGGGGTCATCTCCAGTCGTATGACTCGTGGGAGTATGAGGTACCCCTCCGGCAGGATTGCCCTGACGCCGCTAACCCTTTTGACCAGAACGGTCAGATGCGACGAAAGCAGTCGCCAAATGCTTCCTAACACTAGGTTATGAGGAAGCAAGGTCAGTAGGCTGGCTTTGCCTCTGACCTTCTGAAGAAGCCGGCGCCGGTACATCACCTGCGTGAGAGGTACAGGCGCAACTTCAGAAGAAGAATACCCACAAGTCTTTGCCTTAAATGTGAGATATAATTTGCGCTTGGCTTCGAGCTTTGAAAAATTAATACGAAGACGACGTTGTAACCAGAAATCCTGCTCCAAAGATTTTTAGTGCAAGTCAGACAGACTTGAAAGCTTACAAGCTTCTTTAACCCAACGTGTGAACTGGTGATCATCTTGAACGCACCGGCACTCCACAAGACTGTCGAGACAGTCACTCCTAATACAATTTTAATCGTATCTCCTGCGAAGTAAGGATACGCCCTGACGAAGCGTGGCACGATCCGCAACCTCACAAGCAGTGCGGACCTGGGAACCAATGATATAGGTGCGCAATGATTGCGATACAGCTCGTTGAGCTATCTCATTCTTTACGCGATCGCAGTAAATACTGCGCTTAAAGCTGCCTTAAACCACCCTGGATCTTCCCTTCCCCTATTTGTTTATCTTCTTGAGACGTCTATTACGTCTAGTAGATCTTCTGACCACTTGAGCCGTCTCGTAGAGGTCCCTTAGCTTGAACGCTGCGTCCGATCGCAGTTGACTTGATTTGAGTATGCTTGAACCCCTGGCCAGAATCTTCCAGGGGTGATCTTTTGTACGTATATAGACTCCCTTCATTCAACGGGTGGCCAACAATCCAACCCGGAAAAGATAAGCACACGTGTACGATCAGATGCTACCTATGTATTAGTCCCTAAACAATACCCATACCAATCACTAGCCTAAGGTACAAACACTACGTACGGCTAATCTAGCAAAATTAATACCTATGCCCTTCCTTGCAACTTCACTACCAACCTATGTGCAACAAAGCCAAAAACTACCATATTGCCTACTTCTGTGACAGGATCAACGCCACGCGTCGCCTCAACGGCGATTGCGATCCGAGGTATGTGGTCCACACCGCGCAATCCGATCCGCTGACGACTCGATCGGTGATCGCGATCGAAGGTATGTGGTCCACACCACGCGATCCGATCCGCTGACGACTCGATCGGCGATTGCGATGCAAAGCGTTTGGTCCACACCACGCGAATCGATCCGTAGACGACTTAATCGGCTTAGCACGATCGCGATTCTTATTGTGTAGTCCACACCATGCGATCGCTTTATTGATCAATCACATGTGATTCGGACTTACCACAACAGTTGGATCGCCCGATCGCCCTGCAAAAGACCATTTCCACAATCTTCACTTCTCCGCACACACCCGTAAATGTATCACTCCAAACTCACCAGTCTTTAGGTCTCTTTCTCATCTATCTTCCGGCATTTAAATTCGACTTGATCAGTTTCATCCACGTCACTATGCCCTTCGAGTTTTAGCTGTTGATTGATCAGCTGAGGACGATCAAGTCTGTGGCAGGGGGCTGAAGTCGATAGAGTTTGCGTCAGGATCCTGGATGGGGGACTCTGGATGGAAGTTGATCGGCTGGGTTGTGATGCTTCGAAGTTTTAATTTCAGATTGTCCAAAGAGAGCTAGAGGCCTGGTACGTGAAGATGTCTCGGCCGAAAAGCACGCGGGGGGTGGACTGTATCCGACAAGAAACTGTAGACTTGCATTTGTTCCGTCGAGTACAGTATTTGACTGCCTCCATTGGGGGAGAGGTCGAGCCGATCGAGAATTTAGTCATCAGGTATACTTGAGTGGAATATAAGTCGCAAAGTGCACACATATAAAACACTGTATGTCGGATATCAGCACTGGGGCGGCCGTGGTGAAGTCGATCGAGAATTTGTGGGGAAAACCCGCTCGAGAAATTCTGGAGCTTAAGATCAATTTAGATTGACTGATAGGCTGCATGGGAAAGTGAGGGAAAGTTGACTGGCTGCGAGAAAGATATGGACTATATTGATTCAGTGTGGGTCACACATTGAGGGCCAGCTTTATTCGATCGCCAAAAGCCGATTAACCTTAATGGATGGCAATTGATGTGGACCACATGGTCTGAGGGGACGATCATAGCGTTACGGACGATACGTGGCGATGTAGCCTGGTATACAGATAGGAACTATCGCGGGTTTTGGGTTTTGATTGGTACATATAACAGAGCTCGAATCTTCTACTGCAAGCCTCGATTTCGTCTTCCAGATTGGATATTTGGCCACCCGACGTCAGGACATTGACAGCGTCTCCGCAAGACTTTCCCCCTGTATTGTTAGGCCATGGTTCAAAATCAACACTCTCAATTATCCCAAGCGGTTAGAATATTTCGAAGAGAGATCGGGGTTGCTACCACAGTATACATCAAGAATATCTGCGATCGTGTGAAGATTTCCGCACGGCACCGATATAGAACCCGCTCAAGATCGACATCGACCGAAGTCATCAAGAAGAGTGTAACCGGCCCTAAATTAGGTAAGCGAAGGCAAACATCAAAACTAAAGCAAAGTATTCTCTCCAATATTCGGTCGTCTAAGCACCAGTGGGAAGTTGAGATCACAAGAATCTTTGGATAGCGGCTCCACCACACTTTCTCAAAATTTAGAATAACTTTACCCGAAGGACTTCCGTTCTGGCAACGCTAAGTCGGAGTCCTTCCATAACGACCATTACGGTCACTGCCTCAGGCAGAGGGTCTATGACCATGGCATCAATAAGAGATCGCAACTCTTGCCTTAGCTCACGCTTGCCTTGACAACACGCCAAAAATCGCGACCGAGCTCGGTACGCTTGATTTGGCGGTTATACTTCCGGTTCATCTGATCTTTTAGATCGGCCCATGTTGGGAATACATCTTGCAGTGACGCACCTCATGTGAATGCCCACTGCTTGGCTAATCCACCCAACTTACCCGTGGCAACGTCAACACGTTACGGTTCATAGGTGATGTCGGCTACATAGCCGATTCAAAGTGTCGGAACCACAGCATAGGGTTATCGCCTTCTTTGCCGTCGAACTTTTCGACTTCCATATGTATGGGTTTTGGTCTGCGGACCACTTCTTGTGCCATAGTCGCCATGAACAAAGGCGCAGAAGAAGACATCTGTGCCTTTACATGCTCGACTAGAGCGCTATTGTACTCTTCAAACACACGAATACGCTTGTTAACCTCTTCTTCGCCTTGGGTGATGAGGTATTCCACGCCTTTCGGGCCAAGGATAGAAAGCAGTTTTTGCAGCCCTTCCTGTTGTGCTTGTGGAAGGCTCGCCGCAAACATCTTTCCAATAATCCATTCTCACAAAGAGAAGTGGTCACAGGCTCAGGTGCGGGATTGACTACAAGTACTACCAGATAAAGCTGAGCTACCGTAGCAAAGCTACGTTGCGCACCAAGCGCAGTTGTGGTGAAGCGCATTGAAAATTGGAAGAAAAGGACCAGCTGACCTTAGTCCTTCGTCAATCGACCTTGGTCCCTCAAGATAGACCTCGGTCCTTCGTCTGTGAATTCTCAACTCCGGTCCCTGGAGGTCGACGCTGGTCCTTTGTCAATAGACCTCGGTCCTCAAGGTAGACCTCGGTTCTTTCGTCGGCGGACCCTTGACCCCCGTCCCTGGAGGTCAACCTTGGTTCTTCGCCAATGGTCCTTCGGTCGATGGACTCTCTACTTCGGTCCCTGGAGGTCAACCTTGGTCCTTCGTCAATGGAACTCGGTCCTTAATCGATAGACCTTAATCCTTCGGTCGATGGACTCTCGCCCCCCCCCGGCTCCTGAGGTCGCCCTCGGTCTAGAGGTCCAGATACCCTAGCCAATCAGAATCAAGAATCAGGTCTCAGGGTAAAGAAGAGAAAGGAGTTAAAGATAGGACTATATCAAATACTACTCAATTCGCGATCTACGTAGCACGCCTCCGTCGTGCTCACAAGGAAGTTACATAAGTCTTATCACCTGTTCTGGGAAGGGATACATTTTGCCCCCCGTCGAAGATATTCGTGTGGTAAGACCCAAGTGTAAATAGAGCCCTAGGATATATTTGGCTGAGTATCACCCTCCAATCGACCCGCTATTGGAAGCGGTCTCCCTACTCTAGTGGTTTGGGAGCAAGTAAAGGCCAGGCGGTTAACACCCCTGAGATATCAGGAAAAAGGCCATGGTCGAGAATCTCCCCTGAAGAATTTGGTTATGAGTCCACCTTCGATTTAGTCAACCGAGTGGCCACGCATCCGCCTACCGAGTGAAGTATATCCACTCGAGGGCCCCCAAGGTCGGCCTCTATCAAGGCCGACATCGCATCTCAACCAAGTCCTCCGAAGAGTGCAACCCACCAGCCGACGGGTACACAAGGTGAGAAAAGTTCCATACGCGGCATCGGGGCACCCTCTCCGACAGTCGGTCGGCAGTCCGGCACAGTGAGTGGATTGGGGTCTCATTACGCAGTTTTGAGAACCCACTCCACCACACAGAAGTCGACAAGCTCTACGAACTCTACGTCTTAGGGTTATTTAACCAAGTACTATGGCCCCCTGACACGATCTATACCCATTGTACCTTAAGGGCAAATTAAAGGGTATGAAGCCAATGCACTCAAAGTTTGGCCACACCGAAATGGGTGGCAGGTGTGCATGTATAATACACACCCTTGTGTAACCCGTTACCGATGTGGCGGCGCGCGTAAGGACGACATTTTGTCCTCTCGCCAGCAGACATTTTGAGAAGCTAAACAAGACAACTAGCCTGACGAAGAAGCATGTTCTGTACAGCTAAAAATCACATTAAAGCTGGAGCTATATACAACTAAGCATGTTGCAGCCACAATATAGTATACTGTAGCCAAGTTTGGCTGAGAGTATTTGTAGCGTGTACTGTTAATTACGAACACGATATTGCAAACCTGACAACCTACTTTGAACGCGTTATGACTGGCATAGGGTTTTCCAAAAGTAATATAAACACTAAGAATGTTAATACAATTTGCTATGAGCTCCATACCAGGTGTCTCTTACAGCTTACTCATTGAATTACGGTCACGCGGGGCAATGCCGGAATACAGTGGATCAATATGCTGCTTTTCCGCTTCAGCGTCGCCAATAGGCTTTCCATCCGCCACAAAAAGTGTGCCAACTTGCTCCCCGTTAATGATACGCAGCAACACTCCCTGCTCCGCTTTAGCAACCACTGCAGCACGCACAGCACCGCTGTCTACTGCACGAATACAAGAGTATAGCTTATCAGTCTGTCCAATAGCTCCAACACGACTCTCAGCAACAATTATCTGTTTGTCTCCACGCTGAAATCTTGAAATCAGCTTTTTGTCGTCTTTAGTGCCCGTATAGATGCCATTCACGTCCGTCAGTACGACCATCAAGTCTACCATCATCTCTTGAGCAAAAAGTGCCGCGAGTGAGTCGTTGTCCCATGCAATCTTGTTTTCGTTCATCAGTGGCGTGGTGCGCCGAGTAATGACATCATTCTCGTTAATTACAGGGATAATGCCTACATCCAGCAAGGCACGTACTGTCTGCTGTAAATTGGCTCGGACTTGCGGTTCTCTAAAGTCAGCATCGGATGCCAGCACCTGCGAGCACGCCAAGTGATACTGGGCGAACAGCATCTCATACAGACTTTGTAACCCGCTCTGCCCTGCAGCGGCGCACGCTTTTTCATAGAACTGAGCGTTATCTTCTACTTGACCCCCAAGATGTGACTGTATCGATCCAGAAAGCAAGTACTGTCGGTGTAGGACCATTTTTCCAATGGACACAGAACCGCTCGAGACAAGGATAATGTTGTGTCCTCTCATGTGGAGCACTGCAATCTGCTCTACAATGTTTCCAATTTGTCCCATAGCTAAAAGACCTTCAGGTGAGTGCACAATTTCGGTCCCAATCTTAATCAGAACAGTTCGTGCTCGATGGAGGTCGCCACCGGAGTCTCGCATGTTTGGCTGGTTGTCGACTATATTATTCATACGCTATGAGCTACACAAGTGATTTGGTTTATACATTCCATACAAATGTCAAGTGGTGTGTGTACGTACATTGTACGATACAAAAAGCTCCTTATAGCAATAACAATCGACACAGACTGGTAACAAGAGTCAACTGAGCTAAATTCTTTATGATAATATCAGTTTGTAAGGACAATATGAACTTTGCAAGGGTATAACTAAACATGCAATTTACTGTTACTCAATCAGTACAATAAGATTGAGACAATGACATTCCGAGTTTATAGTGCATAAAACACCTGTATATTTCCCCTTAGATAATGGTCTCGCCCACCTTCTTAGCAGCATCTTGAAGTGTACGTAGCTTTATCTTTTGCTCATCATCGAGTAGCTGCTGATCTTCAACGGACAGCTCTTGTCCAAAACAGTTCTTCTTTTGGCTCATCATGGCTGCATATTGCTCCCATTCTCGTAGAAATAGCGGCACAAACTTAGATGCTGCATTCTTGTGTCTCTTGAATTCATCACGCACGTATTGATCTCCAAGCACGCGCATATGCGGCTCTAGTTTATACCGGTGCAGCGTCAAGATGTGCTTGTAGAGTGTCAGTACTTTTGACCGATTTGCCATCATGTATGATCACAAAAGACTTATTCATCTATCTTATAACCTACAAGTTTCTTATGTTGCTAAGAAGTTTCGTAATTTTCTTTACGTTGCTTGGACAACATTTGTCAAAGATAAAAAAAATGCCAATACGAAACGTAAAGAGCCTTGATTCATGGCTCTTTGGTGATGATGATAAGCTCCATGAAGATAGATGGACTACTAGTAATAATCAAAATGTATCACTTCCTAATACTTCAAATACAAGCAATGCTAGACCAGAGTCAAGAAGAAACTTCAATCGATTAATGGATTGGACCTTATTATCACCACATAAAAAAGAGGAATCTACTATCATTTCGGACTTATCAGCTCCATTTCCCGTCAGTTATAAATTACGTAAACTATTTCAACCAAATAAAACCCACTGGAAAAAAACACAAGATGAAAAAAAGACGTTACAACAAGTAAAAACCCAAGTGAGTGGATTAAACAGAACAACAAATTATCAGACACTACAGAATCATGTGCCTTATACACTCCAAGAGATTGTAAAAGACCCCAAGAAATTACCATTTCTATTCCAATGGCTCTCTCTAGAGACAAAACATAACTGTAATTATTATCATGATGATGATAGGACAGACAATGATAATTTTCATCAAGTTTTACTCTTTCTTATGGAAACGGAGCGATTAAAGACAGTAAAGCACAGTAAAAGACGAGATCAAGCACACAAGATTTGGTACAAATACATTGATCAAGCGTCTGAGTTTCAAATCTCAACGACACTTGAACTTACATCAGAGCTAAAACAGCTTGTGAAGCAAAATATTGATCGAATTGATCACGTTCACGACAGTTTCTTTCCGATTCAAAAACTGGCGTTCATGCGGCTCACAAGCGACAAGATGCCGCAGTTTCTTAGGAGTAATGAATACCTTCAAATGCTCATTGATACGGAAGATGGTACAAGAAGAATTCCCATGGAAAAAGTCTTACAGCAACCACGTGCAGCACATTACTTTCTACTCTTCCTCATGCAAAGTCGACAGCATTTTGAACTCTACTTCTGGCTACATGTGGAATACGTGCTAAAACTTTTGATAGATGAAAAAAAGTACGAGCTGTTTTGGCAATTGGCAAGCGTACTTGTGCACAAGGCGCAAGCAAGTTCGCAGGCCATCACACTTGCGACGAAGAATGATTTATACCTGGCCGTGGCCAGCCGTCGCCTCGATGAAAAGTTTCAGCCCATGGCCATCACGTTTTTCAGCAAGGCGCAGCACGAGATCTTTGCGATGCTACAGTCGTCGTGGTTTGACCGGTTTATGAAGAGCAATCTGTACAAGGTAGCACTGCAGGACTCGCTCATCCACTTTGACCTCGTCGAGAAGTCTGAAGATGATTCATCTCCAAAGTTTTTGTCTAAAGCCTACTCTTCTGCGGAATACCCAAAGGAACCAATCAAGACTAACAATGGTGTTCCATTGGGTAGTGGGGGAAGTGACGAGCACAATGTTGGGCAAAAAGGCGAAGAAGAGCTCATTGACACGAAGCCACATGCAGTCAATAATTCGGATCACATGAGCGTGAACAATAGAAAAGAAGACAGTCGATGTGACTCAGAGGAAAGCAAAAGCCATGCATTTGCTAAAATTGTCTTAAATCTCGAGAGCATCATTCGGCTGACTAAGTTGCCCGATGGCCTCCAAGTGCACTATCGACCAAATTACGAGTCGCCGACAGCAAACGCATCCGTCCTTAAGGAGGATGAGTGTGGTATTGATGTCATTTTGACCTTTGCGACTTTTGTGGAGAAGCAGGAGGTGGAGGATGCTGCTGCCACCTTGATGCTCATGCCTGTTCCAAATCCATACAAAGATACAAACAGTCGCAATGAGTCGTTTGACGACATTTCTAAACGAATCAAAACTTTCCTCGTTCCGAGCGGTCAAATCCTCATCAAGCGGTCAGAAGGTGGAAAATGTCCTACTGGCATGTTGTTTCCTTTCCAACAGAGCGGCCGGAACGGATTCTTGTTTGGGTCAGTCTACTTGATGTACGAACCCATGTACGTGGGAATACCTAACGAAGAAGTTTATGTTGCAAAGGGCTTTTGCGTGCTATCTCACCTTCCGCTCGTGAACTCGTTGCGAAACCTGGTGGAAGAACACGTGCAAAGTGCACCGGATACATCCAGTATCCTTGCACACGACCGTTTGGCGTTGTTATTCCAAAGCAGCCTTTGTTGGAAAAGAACGACTATCAGCAGTGCCAGAACTCATACGTATGTGCACCCGGAAATGCGGCGTCTGGCGCATCGGCAGCACAGCAGCATTCTGGACCTGCCTTTAGCAACGCTAGAGACTCAGGTGGACGTCCCAATGACAATTCTGTTCGAACACTTTGGTACCTCCATGGTACTTCAAATTCTTGCTAGTGCTGTACTTGAGTGCAGTATCGTGGTAGTTGCAAGTCAGTATTCGTTGCTGACAATGTGTGCCGAGGCTATCCGCAACTTGCTTCGACCGTTTTCGTGGTGTCATGTGTATGCGCCTGTGTTGCCAAAGCCATTGCTCTCTTACCTGCAGTGTCCAACGCCGATTCTGGTAGGCGTACACAGCACGTTTGTGGTGCGATCAGATCTGCCAACGCGTGGCTTGTATCTTGTTGCTGACGTAGATCGTAAAGTTGTGGAATATGTCGGTGATCAATCGGTTTCCTGGCGAGGCCTGGGTCTGCGAGACGACGTAGGAGCGAACGCAATTTTTTTGCCTCGGTGCTTTGTAGTTGCAAAACATGAGTTGGACAAACTGTTGTTTCCAAGAACATTGCGATACGATTTAATTGGTGGATGTGGCACAGCATCGCTCAACACAATGGTATCACCTCCGAAGACAGAAGCGGAGCAAGATGAGCAGGTGCGCGGTATCTGCTTTGATTTGTTCTCAGAGCTATTGAGTGGTCATACAAATGCCTGCCTTGTGGTGGGTGACACAAAGGAGTCGGTAGTCATCTTTGACGAGAGTGAGTTCCTTGCAACTCGTGCTGAAGAAGACTTGCTCTTTTACCGTGCGCTGTTGCGCACTCAATGCTTCTCAGAAATTGTCAGCACGCACCGGATTAACATGAGCTCGAAAGAGATTGGCTTAGAAGGCTTTCAAGCAGATGAAGATCTGCAGGAAGGGATAATTTAGATGCCGACCTATATGTACAAGTAAATGTTCAACGTCATGCCATTCACAGCTTGCATTCTGTCGTTACTAGCTTGAAGATGCATTAATATTGAGCGCCACCTCAACATCTTTACGATGAACCTTCTTCGCGTGTGTACCATCCATTCGCATGTCGTCGCCTTCAGCACTGCGGGCTCGCTTATGAGGTTGCGCGTCAGTGGTGTCATTAGCGGCCAGGAAGTCTCGATTATCATGAATGGCAGCAACTTCCATTTCAGCAATGACCGACTCTGATTCATCGCTACACCCCACTTTTGCATCGTCAATTGAAGCAACCTTTGCAACAACGTTGCTACAAACCGCTTGAGTACTGCGAGGCTTTTGAGTCGGTTGTGCTTCTGGTGGATGCCCATTGTGATGCTCAGGACATGATTGTTGGAAACTTTCCACTACTTGAGTTTGCTGGCTTTTAAGGGCATCATTCCCTTTAGTTAAAGAGATCTCATTAAACAAATCTCCAGTTAAATTTCGGCCGTTCATCACTTCATCGGAAACAGCATCAGAAACGCCAACAACTGCTTCACTTGTAGTAGCAGCACTACTCAACTGCAAAGGATCCGCCGTTAAACCACCTAATAGCATGTCATCATCGCTGTCATCGTCACTTAAATCTGCCCCTCGTCGAAGACGTCGTCGGGGTCGAACGGTATTGAGAGCAGCAAGATCCTTCTCGAATCTGGATTCTCGCACAGTTCGGCCATACTCCTCCTGCACTTCATCCTGGGCACCATCCGACTTACTTTCATCTACTTCATCCTCATCAGACGAATCATGGGTCTTTCGGTAAAGCTGCAGATACTTGACACGACGTTTAATCTGCTCCGGTGTTCGGTCACGCTCCTGAAACATGTCCTCATATGAAATGACCTCGTACACAGACGGCAAGTGGCGAAACTTCATAAACACCTTTGCAAGGTACCGATCTTCTACCTTGCTCCAGTTCTTAGCACGCTCCGCTGCAGCACGGGACGACGTCATTCTTTTCGACTTTGATATTGCAACAAAAGCAGTTTTTGATGGGCTTGATAGCGAATCCACTGCTTTTGACTCATCCATACCCTCGTCTTCTTTATCGTCCTTATCCACAAGTGAGGTAGACTTAAAATCCAATGGTCCCAACGTAAACTGAACCTCGGCTTCTCCCTCGAGCTCTTCATGGTCGAGGGCAATTCGGTGTCGTCTAGACTCGTTTATTGCTTCAATTTGCCTATCTCGGCCCGGTGCAACTGCCTCAGATTTCGACTTGCTCACAAAGTCGATCGGGTCGTAACTTCGTTGAATGAGCATGCATGATCTTGAAGGGTACGTTTGGCGCAGAAGAGCTTCGACAAACAGCAAATTGTTATTGTCTGCAAGCGCGAAAAAATCGCGAACGACGCTACGAATGAAGTCCAGGAAGTTTTTGTACTCAGGAAGACGCTGAATGTACGTATCTTGAAGCATTTGGTCGAAAATCAGAAGGAGACGCATGTTGAACAACATAGGCTGCATTGTCCATTTCTCTTGCGGATAGATCTTGAAATGGTTTATCCGGTACAAGAACGAGTGGATGTAATGGTTCACTATTGCACTGTTCTCACGGTAGTCCGCAAGTAGTGAGCAGTACATCCGAACCGTGTCTGCTGAAACCATGCTAGAAAAGTATTTTCGGACATCAAAATCAGCCTCCTTACGCTGCATTTCCATCAGGAGCTGTGCTTGTTTCTCTGTTTCCTCCTCATCTGTCGAACTGCCGTCTGAGTCTACGCCATCTTTTGACTCCTCGTCATTTCGCTTTTTCTTCTGGCGCTTTCTATATGGGTAGCAGCAGCAGAACGTGATACAGTGAGGATAGCAGTTCCGGACATGGCATGCAGTAACAACACTACTTCTCACTTGTCAAGATATGCTTTCCTTCGTGAAAGCACTTTAATCGTTCCTTGCGAGTCGAGCTCCTTGAAAACAAGCTTTGTCATCAGCAACAAGCAATACAAAAATTAGTCAATCACGTGCGCAAACACTTCACTGCATGCTTAACAAACCCACATGAGTCAAAGTGACAACGTCGATGACGTAAGCTCTGGGTAAAAGACCCGGAGACCACGTTTTCAACAGCACTGGCAGGCGATCCAGAAAATCACGCTCATAAAAAATCTTGTGTTGCAATGAATCAGCAATACGCTGTAAGCGGGAATCATTACTCGCAGAAAGCTCAGCAAGATACGCCATCATCTCGGCCAGTAGCTGGACAGAAACAGTCATGCCGTGGTAATGTTTCATTGTGGCGTAATTTTCGATCGACTGCAAGACGAAGTTAAAGGAAAACATATCCAAAGTAGCGAGTACCGCTTTTTCGTTATAGTCTGGCTTCTCAGGAATCGAAGGGAGGGGTTCGGTACAATCCAAGGCATTTTGTAGCTCAGTTCTTTTCTTCTCAGCTGATTTCAGCTGATGTTTATAGTTTGACTTCAGCGCCTGAACTTTTAAACGGTGATACGAAGTGAGGAACCAAACGAGATGAAAGTATTGAAGTCGATCTGTAGCAATCAACTTAGTACTTCCTCGGCGAAACTCGGTCTTCAATGAATTCATAAGCTGAAAGTAAGATTTTATAATAACGGAGTCGCAAATGTCTTGGAGCACTCGCATCGTCCGTCTAACAGAAACACAGCATTGCACCCCATACGTTACTCTGATGTGGAAAACACAATCTTAGACAAACAACGCACTCGTCAGCTTCTGTCGCTCTTCCCTTTCCGCCAAAAATTTCATGAATATCGGTAACTGGAGTTATACTCTTTTTTCCTTTTCTCTGAGAAGTTGGTTTCTTGGCTGCCTGTGGAACCTGATCATACACAGTCTTGGAGAAGTCAGACAATACTGTAGTTCGTCCAGTCGGACCGACCATTGTTAGGACGCCACCGAAGTTGGAATGGCGGCGCGATCCCGACTGACGACAGACCGCCGCGTTTTTCTCGCTCTTAAGCCTTCCCAGCAAGTCTTCTTCTCCAGATCGGGTCGTTGTGAGGCCGCAAGACGATGTCTTTGTAGAATTTACCTGTTCACCGGAATGCTGGGAGTTTCCACCCGTCAATTGTTTCTTCACATATGCTACGACGGATTTTGGCTGGGAGCAGTCAAGCGTAAGATCTAGCATCTCCATAACAAGTAGATTCCATTCTCGATTTTCTGGTGATTCGATGTCCTGAGCAAAGAGCAAGATCATTTCATAGACATTTTCTTCATGCAACCTGATGATAAAATCTTCCTGTAGGTGACTAAAATGTGACGTCGTGGACGTGACATAGCGTGCATCTTCATTTGGAATTGCCAGTAAATTTCGAAATAACATTAAAATGATTTCCATCGATAGATAGTCCTGTTCCGTTCGTGTGGCCCTTTTTTTTGACAAGGGGTCAAGTAGAATTGTCATGAAAATTGAAATCACGCGAGACGATAGGAATTCGTATTTATATTGTCGTAGATACTTGAGTTGTTGGTCCAGATTTGTTGAATTGGTAGGAGGTTTTGTTGTCAACATGACAAGAACTTTAAGAATCGATAACACAAGTGACCAATCGTGTTGATACGTGACAAGAAGTGGTAGTAATTTCTTCTGTACTATCTTCCATTTTCCCAATTGTTTCGTAATCAAACGATATTTCATATGGTCCCGACGTAAAACACGCTGAAGATCATGAATCCATAATTCACAGTCTTCACTACGGATTAAAACTGGTGGTTTCTCCTCCTTATGGTCATTCTGTAACATACCAAGATTTGAACATACAAGAAGTAATTCATTCTGTATTGCATCATCTAATATGGATGATTCATGTGACTGATGATCATCATGCTCATGCTCATTCTCACTAACGTCTTGATACTTTATCTCCCCATTCTCTAACATTTGTGACGTTGTTCTTAGTGGTTGATTAGTTTGTAAAATGGTGTGTCAATGGAGCAGCTAAATGATGTGGTGAATGTATTCGATTAACTCCGATTGAAATGCGTTTTACATATATCTGACCAATCATATTTGATTCGATTACATACATGGATACACGCGGACAGGAACGGCAGACGACATTGCAGCAAGAAGATCAAGAAACATCGCAGCAACAACATCAGCACAGCAGCAACAACATCAGCAGCAGCATCCATCTACAGACGCATGACCACCATCATCATCAACCGAATTATGCTCTTTCCTCAGGCTACGATGCGACCGTGAATGCAGCTAATGTCAGTTCACAGATACAGTCTCATCCATATCAACATCAACAGCCTCCAACTCAACCATATCATCAACAGCAGCAACATTATCAGCATCATCATGTGCAGTATAAGCAGCCACAGCAGTCCGTATACAATCCACAGCAGCCGCAGCAACAAATGAACGCTTACAACCTGAAGGCACCTACCCCAATGGCTTTTAGTACTCTTTCCGTCCCCGTTGAAGAGCGAGCGACACGACTTCTTGCGGCGTGTGAGTCCTGTCTTGTAGTTACTCGCATCCCGGGTGTTGACATGTCGTTTCGCCGCATCATGGAACGCAAGTGTTTGCGCTGCGGTGGCACCCTGGTGCTGCCCCAGGAGGTCATGGAGATGCTCATCCTTTACGGAAGCTTTGTGCCCGAGTCAGTAGCTGTCACACTCATACTGGGAACGATGGTGCTGCATCCGTCGCTACGACCGGACTTTATGGCGGCGGCGATGAACGAGCTGCTTAGTCCCCTGCAGACGGACTTTGTCTATGATGTGGCCGTACCCAAGCGGCCAGAAGGACTGGGTATGTCGCTGCGCATGAATCGTGAGTGCATTGTTGTCTTTTTGCTGCAATATGGTCTTGGTTACCGTCGAGACTGACCCCGTTGATGCGTACGATGACTTGTGTGCTTGCAGAAGGAAATCTCGTTGTTGGCGGCTTTATTGACTTTGAGAACAACAGTGAAAGTCCATCTGTTGCAGCTCGAATAATTGCTGTAAATGACGTGTTGGTTGCGATCAACAAGAAGTCTATCACGTCATGGTCATTTGAAAAGAGTATTAGCATGCTGGCTCGTGCAGCGTCGCCTGTGTACTTGACATTTCGGCGTCGCCAGGCCGTTATGCTGCTCTAAAAAAAGGATTCAGTTGCGGATAACAACAGAGCAAGGTTGCATACAGCTCAAATGGATATATTGTCAACTGGGCTAAAGTTTGCAGTTTGCAGTATGACTTCAAGGTGAAGATATCAAAAATCATTCTCACATACATTGAGTCATTTAAGCAAAGTCACATGACCGACCTGGTTAGCATATACAAATTGCAATTGCTGTATAGGTAAGTCTATCTCATCGGTTCAGTATTTGTCATCTTGGATATATTTGACGACGATTTTTGTTCAAGTAACGTCATGTACGTACGTAAGTATCGGCTATCAGAGGAAACAGTATTGAACAAATGTTGTTTATACTTGAATAATCTATACCCTATGTCGATGCAGCAAATTTACCAGAGCGTAAAAGTCCTTTGGTCGTAACAACACCTTTTAAAGCTCCATGATCACATACAAAACAATGATCACATCGTAACATTGTAAAAATCATGTGAAGATCGTCCAAAGGTGTATTACTTGAAATCGTCATTGCCATGGGACGGATAATACAAATATGTCCTTCCGTTATCTTCACAGGAACATTAAGCTTTTTCGCTTTTGGACTCTCCCAACCTTCATTCAAGAGCCCTAACATTTTCGAATCATCCATGACAAATGGAAGTTGAGCTCCATCTTTAATCACATGATGATGTTGTTGCGTTGACAAGATGTTGTAAGTGATATCAATCGAACCAATTCCGTTAAAACCTCCAATGTTAGCAGCCAAAGTATGATGCGTGAGTTTATCCTTCAATGTAGCCCATGACAGTAACGTCGCATCCTTCTGAGGCTTTTCACCAAGGTCTTCATCAATACCGCCGAGATTATTTGTCGCGTAGTGATTTCGCACAAACCTTCGCAACTGCGATCCACTTACAACACCCAGTAAAACCATCGTTGCTTCATCTTTCACTACCGGAATCTCCTGATGTGGTAAACGCTGGAGTGCAAGCAAAATGCGAGCGATTGTTGTTCGTTTTTGTATGTAAACTAAACACGGTTCCACAATGTCGCCTGCTGCCATAGTCGGTTCAAAGTCGATCAGAGGAAGGAATGGTATACCACTTACGATTAACAGTGTGTCGTAAACGGACTTTTCCTTGAATATATTTGAGGTTGCTAGTGCTGCCAGTGTTGCACAGAATAGTGGAAGAGTCATTGACATTGCTGTTGTAATTTCCAGTGTAATGACTGCCACAGAGACTGCCCGGGTTGCAGCAGTCCCAAATGCGGCAGCTCCAACCAGCGCATACGTGCCAGGAATAATATTTAGACTAGGAAACAGAGTTGCAACGATTTCTCCAAACATGCGCCCAAATGAAGCGCCAGCAATGAACGTTGGTACCCAAATTCCAGTGGGAATCTTCAAAGTGATGCACAATGGGAGCAAGAAAATGAAAACAGCCGACAGAACCGAAAGCGCATAGTACTTGGACACCACCTGCCATGCTGCCGGCAGCTTTCCCTCAGTGAACAAAACGGCAAGGTCGTTCATGGAGTTTTGATGAGCATATTTTCCAGGTACGAAAGTCAAAACAGCCGTCAAGATGGACACAACAAGCGGGTCAATCCACGTAACGAATATTTTTTTCCATTTCTGCGACGATTTTCGAAAATCACTCCTGCACTCAGCAATTTTGCGCAAGAACCACATCATTGCCGTACAAATCAATCCAAGTACGGCGCCAAGAAGGACGTAGAGAGGAATTTCCCAGATACTGAACGGACTGGGAGGAAATTTAGTCTGCAATACCGCCTGCGTCGCAAGATTTGACTCACTTTTAGCCAACACTAGCGTCAAGCGTAGCATCACTGCTCCTGATACGGCGCTAATGAAGGCCTTGATATAATTTGATGTTAGATAGTACGTCGATGTAACTTCCAAGGAGAAAAGTACACCACCGATCGGTGACGAAAACACGGACGACACACCCACAGCACATGCGGCAGCCAGAAGCTGAAGTCGGCCGTTAAGATGCACACTAAATCCCTTAAACAGTGGTGTTTTGAGTAAGTGGTGCGTGACGATCGACATGATGTGTACGAAGGCTCCTTCCGTACCTACAATTAGACCGGCACCAACGGAGCACACCAAGCCGGCAACCTTGGCGAGAAATGTGGAAAAGTCAAAATAGCCAGGAAGATACATTCGCGGGTCGATCCCCGTAAGAATTGATTTCATCTGAGAGATTCCTGACCCGGCAGAAACTGGTGCCAATTGAGTGAAGAATAGCCCAAGTCCTGAGAAAGTCACAGTGTGTGCTGTCCAAACGGCGAGTTTCGATGCATAGTCAGGGGCCTGATCAGCAAGATATTGTCTCAATATTAGGAGGTGCACGTACATTCTACAAGGGTGAAACTTGTTAGTTTAATGGAGTATCCTCTCTATATCAAGAAGCGCTAAACTAACTGATCACTTACACTCGAATGCCATAGTTCATAGGTCCTCCAATAACACCTAAGAGGATTAGAAAACAAACTGCCTTGAGTTGTCGACGATAATACGACCATTTATCCGAAGCTCGACTTCTTTCACCGCCAAAGAGAGATACACTTGAGATCGATCTTCTTCCACCATACTTTTGAAACGACTCAAAAAAGTCTGATCCATCACTACCACGTCGATCAGGCGCAACATCAACGTAAGCATCCGAGACGGAGGAAACATTATACTCGTCCCTTAGTAGAGCAGAGATGGGAATCTTATCATCATCACAAGTCTCATTGCCATTATTGACGCCATTATAAAGAGCTGCACGTTGCTGAAATTCGTGGAGACTGCCAATTCGCCCTGTACGTCGCTGATGTGCCGGTAGCATCGAGTCTATCGACGTGGCTTTGTTGTGTTCTGGCAATTCCATCCAGCTAGACTGTCAAATAGCTCTTTTTTGTCTCCTCCTCCTCCTCCTCCTCTTCGTCTTCTTCTTCCTGTTTCGAAGTTCTTTATTCTGCGTGAGCTATTCGAGCTCTTTTTGCCTCAAACGACCGACAACAAAACGAACGCGCAACCACAAGATAATTTATACGTAAGTATATAGCACTGTAGACTGCCAACCCACTGATAAAGTGTCACTTTGTGATTTCGGCTCATGACTGAATCAAACCTTGTCAAGGCCTAAGGTCAGACAGAGCAGCCAATGCGAGTGGCCTGAGCATATTATACGAACTTGCTTTTGTATCACTTATTGTTGTCGCTGCGATTTTGTATTGCTTTGCCGAGATATTTGCAGCAGCATCTAAATGACAGGACGACCACCATGCACTAAGATCTATTGACGTAGAACCACATGCAGGGCAGAAGAAGTTCACTATAAGGAGAGAATAAGTAGTATGTCCGACTAACTAATGACAGTGGGACGGACGGCAGTATGTCTACAGATGCAATCATGTGAAAGAGCTTCGTACGATCAAGATATCATACTGATTTGTGGTAGCTCCAGACGTTGGTACCAAAGATGCCAAAGAAAAACTTGTGGTATCATGTGCTTGACGTTGTTTAAAGTCAATCACACGTATCAAATCAATTACAATTCCAACCTTCAAACATATCAAAGTGTCTTGTGGTGAAATATGGTTTTACAAAAAGCGTCAAGCACTTGATCCTCATTTACTGGCAGCTACTTTGGTGTCTTTAACTAAATGAGGTCTAGAAATGCAAGTTTTTATACCGAGCATTTCGGTCGGACAAGTCACTAAGCTTTGATGAAGAAAAGGCTCGTTTACGTGTTGAAAATCATACTTTTCTGTAGCTTGCACCAAATACTAACAGTATCTTTCAGTTGATCCAATATACAATGAAAACGTGACAAGTTCCGGATCGTGACGGTTTACTAATCACAGGAGCCATCTGGTGGGAATAATGGCTTCTTTCACCCATCGAGCAGCGAAATAAAAGAAACAAAATAGCCTTGTTTTTGTGCATTACGTAATATAGAAAATACGCTTCTAATACAAGTCAAAAGCTCTCATTTCTAAATTAGTGCACACTCAAGTGTGACATTATGTTGCGACATTTGCACCGTTCATCCATTGCTGGCACGTGTAATCGTGCCTTGAGCTCATTAACTTCTAATATCGGGTATGATTACGTGATTGTAGGTGGTGGTTCAGCTGGATGTGTACTAGCTAATCGTCTGACGGAGGATGCAATCAATAACGTGTTGCTGATCGAAACGGGTCCGGATGATCGCACGAAATGGGATTCGTGGAAGATTCACATGCCTGCTGCTCTTACGTACAATTTAAGCAATGATAAATATAATTGGTGCTATAATACAGAGCCCCAGAAGCATCTACATGGCCGGATCCTGCCCTGGCCGCGTGGCCGCGTGCTTGGCGGCTCCTCGTCACTTAATGCTATGGTCTACATCCGCGGTCACGCATATGATTATGACGATTGGCAAGAAAGTGGTGCAGAAGGATGGAGCTATGCTGATTGCTTGCCTTACTTTCGGAAAGCGCAGAACCATGAGCTTGGACCGGATGATTACCGGGGAGGCGATGGTCCACTCCATGTTATTCGTGGCAACCAAAAGGATCAAGTTCTTTTTGAAAAGTTTATTGAGGCAGGAATGCAAGCTGGGTACCCATTTACAAATGATATGAATGGATATCAGCAGGAAGGGTTTGGATGGATGGATATGACAGTGTGGAAAGGATTCCGTTGGAGCACCGCTTCGGCTTACTTGCGACCAGCTATGAAGCGTCCAAACCTTACAGTTGTCACGGATACATTTGTGAGGAAGGTGGTCTTCAAAGGCAAGAAGGCGGTTGGTGTTGAGATCGAGGATCACAAGAAAAAAACGATCAAGCAGGTTTGCGCATCTAAGGAGGTGATTGTGGCTGGTGGAGCGATAAACTCGCCCCAGCTGCTGATGCTATCGGGTATTGGCAATGCGGATCATTTGAGGGAGGTGGGTGTGCCAGTCGTCCAGCATCTGCCTGCAGTGGGACAGAATATGGAGGATCACCTTGATTTGTATATCCAGTACATGTGTAAGAAGCCGGTCACATTGCACAATGCTACGTGGTAAGTGTGCTGTCTAGCGTTTCTGTGTTCGAATGTCTTTCTGGCTAAATGCTTACGATGGTATTCTTGCAGGAGATACCCGCACAAGATGATTTTGATTGGTTTGCAGTGGATTTTCCGTCAAACTGGCATGGGAGCATCCTCTCACCTGGAATCAGGCGGCTTCATCCGCAGTACCTCTGGGAAACGCCACCCTGACCTGCAATATCATTTTCTACCTGGATCGCTGACGGGTCAGCTAACTCCTGGAGATTGTCATGCCATGCAGGTTCACTGCTCACCGATGCGCGCACAGAGCCGCGGCTGGTTGAAATTGCGCAGCAACAACCCGCACGAGCATCCGATCATTGAACCTAACTATCTTAGTGTGGAACAGGACTTGGTGGATATGCGTACGGGTGTGAAGCTCACGCGTGAGATCCTGGAGCAGCAGGCGCTTGACGAGTATCGTGGTGAACCGATTTCACCGTCAAAAGGCGTGCAGACTGACGCTCAGATTGATGAGTGGATTCACCAGAACACAGAAAGCGCGTACCACCCATCGTGCACAAACCGCATGGGTCTGGGCCATAACACGGTTGTTGACCCGCAGACGCGTGTACACGGTGTTGAGAATCTGCGCGTCGTGGATGCGTCTATTATGCCGAACATTGTAAGCGGCAACCTGAATGCACCGACGATCATGATTGCGGAGAAGGCTGCCGACATCATTTTGGGCAAAACGCCTTTACCGAAATCGACTGTACCGGTGTATCAACCAAAGAATTGGGAGACAAGTCAAAGATAAGTTGCTTGTCAGCGATTAAAGAATGAGTCATGAGAATGCCAGCTGGAAATACTTGCTAGAGCGAGACGTCGTGTGATGCTAAGCAGTATATTCAGTATCGACAGCTTTACCGATTGTTTGCTGTTGAAATTCAAATGATCTTGGTGTTTCCGTGCTGAGAAGTGGATAAACATTCGTACTCAATGTGCAACTACTCGCTTTAAGATTGCGGTTATCGGTTTTGTGTCTTGTAATAGCAAATGCATCCGAATGATGTAGCTGTTAGAAAATGTAGTTGCACTACCTTTTTAAAAATATAGATAGCACAGAGAGACAACAACAAGGAGTTGGCATTAATCTACGAGCATGCATTATAATATAACCATGTCAGACGTTGCACATCAAGTAAATAGGCATGTTGCTGTCGGTAAATGTTATTAGTTTTGACAGTGAATTAGTAAGAACATTTCGTTTTAATCTGAAGATTTGTTGGTACTACCGGTTGTTGTGCGAGTCACTAATTTGAATTTTATCTGACCTCTATATAGTGCCAGCCACTTATATTTTCTCATTATAATGTTTAGTGCTGCCACAAATGTCCCAATAGTGGAGCCTTTGTTACCGATCTTCTCGACGCGTGAGGCTCGTTTCCACAAAGCGCGTGATGCCAATACTTTAATCTTTGACATTCCAACTCATTCGAGCTTGCTGCTATCATTGCTACGCCCTGTTTGCCACGTTCATGGACAACAGGACACACAGTGTTTACACTTGTTACAGACTGTGGCACTCGTGCCTAGTTGCAAGTCTAATAAGTTACTTACAACAATAAATGAAGCACTAAACGTGTCAATCTCTCCTACTACTAAAAATAAATTAGAAAAGAAATTACGTCCATTGATAAGTAAGCTACAGGATCAAAGAGACGAAGACCAGGAAAGCGGTACACGATCGTTAATAGCTCTGCAACTTAAAGAGGCGGTGGCAGATTTTTTACGTTGCTGGATTGCTGATCCTATTGAAGGCGTTGTGCTGCGAAAGGAATATGTGATAAATGGCATGAGGTTGAATGACCTGGTGGTTACACCCGCAGGTTTAGGATATCTGAGGGGATACCGTCGAGAAGATGGCTTTTGCACGATTGTATACCCGTGGGGACAGGGATTTGTACATGTAAAAGACGTGGAAAAAGTGCAACAAGCTTTGGAAAAACATTTGAAAAAACGCACGTATAACGAATACGTTGCGCTTGAGCACCAGCAACTATCCGAGCAGATTGACAAATTGCTGGGGAATTTGACATCACCATTACCTGAGGATAGAGGTTTGGTTAAGAATGAAGCAAGTGCCAATGTTAACCAGGAAAGTGTAGGAGGTATTGAGGAGTACAAGGAAATGCTGGAGTCTTTGGAGGAGAAGGTAAGAAAGGTTTAGTTGCTCGAAATACTCTTAACAAGCTTTTTTTTATGGGTGTTCACATGTACTGCAGCACGTGGATACGACCGTGTTGTACAAAGACATAGGATTCCTGCGCCGCGTGCAGTCGTTGGCCAATAAAGCGACGGAATTTCATCGTTTGCACATGCCACAGGAGCCTGAGCAAAAGCTGCTGCGAACAGACGCAGACCAAGAGTTGTTTTCTAAAATTAGTTTAGAGAGGCGAATGCGAAGAGCACAGCTAGAGGAACAGCAGCAACAGGAGCAGGAAGAAGAACTAGTTGAGATGAGATAGGAAGTGGTTATGGACGAGATATTGTGTGAAAGAAGTGAGCACCACGTGATTTTTCAAGTGTTTGCTCGTGGATAGCTCAGCTTATAAATGAATGCAATTGAGAAAACGAATGCGCCAGTAACTGGCGCGATGTTGTCTGGTATAACTCATATTCAAAAAACATACAGAAAATATAACAACTGCACAGTAATGGCAAAGAGGCCATCATCAATTGGACAGGCACTTTCACTCATAAAAGAGTTATTTGTATTCAAAGTCGATCAAATCGACAAGACGCGCTTACAATCAAGCATCCTGCTGTTTTTCTTTCAGTATAGTACAGTACAATTAATTGCCTCGTTAGCTAAACAGAATCGACTGGACAGGATACAATCTCAAGCTTACGAAGGTTTTCTCATGACCAATGATATCCACTAACCATCTTTTTAACTTCAATCACTAAGCTCCGTGTCAACATCCGCTTGACGTCTGAGCCACACATTTTTCCAGGCTGTTTTACAATTTTGTGACAGAAAACCAGTGTCTTTTGCATGTCCGTTCGGTTGCCACTTCGTCCGAGTCGCGCGTTGACACGCTTGCCGGTATAAATGGGTCAATAGGATGAAATTTCAAGTATTTTGTTAGCAACGTTGCTGAATGACTGATAGATAGAAGATTGCATAAGTACCAATGTGGTGCTTTTTGCAGTATCGGACATGTTGCGGTTAAATGTTTATATGTAAAACGGATCACGTTTTGATATGACAAGTAGAATGTCCGTGTACCAATACTGTCCTATTGAGAACGATCGACATATTCTATCTGTATTCGTCAAAAATACCATCACCATGATTTTGACGAAACGACACCAAACTGTCGTAATTTGCTG